TGGCAGCAAGAGGTGTTTCACTGGTCTAGCCCACATGAGATCAAAGCAAGAGAGTTGCTGGAAGTTTGAGAAACATCAACAGCTTCAGTTTTCTATGCAGATGAAACTTTTTGTGACCTACAGGTGGCGAGACGTTTGTCCCTCGTCAAACACCCGCAGTGCTCCTCGCTGAGCGGAGGCCAGGCCATAGAGCTGCTCGCTCGGGACGGCGACAGGACGAAGTTCTCTTTCAGGACACCAATGGGACAAACGCACGACTGCTGCTTTTCCTTTGCTGGACTCAGAAATCAGATTACGATGACGATAATGAAAAAAGAAGCAGAGGAAGGTACGAGCCCCGTTTCCCCCATAATGCCTGCAGCAGCAGCGATTCACCTCTGACTTTTAGGCTCTCCTCCCCTCCCTCTGTAGGTGTGGAAGAGGGGACGTTGCTGAAATGTGTGAATGATATTGCAGCTGCCGCTCAGCACACCGTCGCCGCCCACCTGGCGAAGCGCACACACCGCGCCATCCTGTTCTGCAAGGCAAACGGCCTGCTGCCGCCCAGCAGCCCCACCTTGGTGAGTTTGCTGGGATATCCCCACCCACCTGCTTTAACCTTAACTTTTCTTCCTATAGTCACATTCACCTTTCAGTCTCAGGATCATTACTTATTATACCTTACCTTATTTTGTCTCATGTTCACTGGTGGATGTTCATATTAAACAAGATCTAAATTTCTGGTAATGAGGTCGGTTTCTGTACAAATAATCCTCAGGAGCCAAAGATTTCTTCCATAGATTTAATAAACATGTCTCTGTTTGTGCTGCTTTCTTATAATGTGTTCACAGTGAAAAGAATACTGAGTAATACCACCTTTACTTTACATTGGTTTATGTTTAGGTGCTTTCTGGGGGAGTTGCGAGCAACCAGTACATCCGAAAAGCTCTGACGATTGTCACAGAGATGACCGGTCTGCATCTGATCTGCCCTCCTGCAAAGTTCTGCACTGACAACGGAGTGATGATTGCATGGTGCATTTACTGTCCTGTCAGCCAATCGGATTTAATTTTCTTAGATTAGGATGAGAAAAACATTTTCCTTATTTTTCATTTTTAAAACTAGGAACGGCGTGGAGCGGCTGAGAGAAGGAAAAGGGATCCTGGCTCCAGATGTTGACGTTTGTTACGGGCCAAGGTCAGTTTATTTATTCACGAGGTTTATTTTATTGTTCTTTTAAGTTTTCTTTCTAAAGTGTTTCCTTTTCCCCCCCCTCTGGTTAAATTGACACTGGCTCATTGATGCTGTGCTGCAGGGCCCCGCTGGGCGTTGACATCACAGCGGAGGTGAAGGCCGCCGCGATCAGGCTGCCACCCTTAAAGATGAAGATCCCTAGCTGATGGAAGTCATTGTGATTTCCCAAAGCAGTGTATAACAGGACATTATACAGATATTTATAAATAAATATTTTTTCTGAAACTGGTTTTGTTTTTTAAAAAAAAGTATTTGTTTTATTCATTGAAAAAATAATTTTTGTTTACTTTTAAATGTTTTCACATTTATTTATAAACGTTTCAGTAGCTAGATAGATATTTTTTGTCCTATTGATTTATTACTGAGGTACTTTTTTATTTAGGATTTTGGCACTCTGTCCTCTGTATTAAGGAGGCTGAATGCAGATTTTCCTCCTCTTCGTTCATCTGTTCCCTCTGCATACACACAAACACAGATCTGACCACACCAAGACAAAAACACAATTTTATTATCAGTTATGTTCACTTGTGTCACAGTTCATTCTTTTACACACAGATGTTTACAGATGTGGTTTCTGAGAGAAACACTGCTGATCCGGGGAGCTGTGAGGCCCGGAGGCAGCCGGGATCCTCTGAGCTGTTTGTTCTTGTGTTCATGTTAGAAGACTTTATCACATGGCTGATTGCAGGACGTTGTGCAATCCTTCGGTTTTGGCTGAAAGTTGAATCAAAGTTCAGAAAACTTGGAGGAAAAAAAACTTTAAATGGCAAAATATATAGTGGTGTTTGCACATTTTCACAGGTGCTGCACATATTCTTACTTTCAGACTGAACTCGAGCTCGCTCAGCTTTACTGGTTGTCTGCTTCCTAAAGGAAAAATCTGCCCTAAAACAACATTTGGAGCTCAGCCTACAAAGCCGGTAACTGTAGGTTAAAGTTGGAGGTTTTCAGCAGTACCACTTCTAACCTATGCTGCAGATATGAAATCACCACCTTCTGACCAATCAGTTCTCCTTGAAATCTGACACCATTCCTAGAAGATCCCTCAGACCTCGGAGTGCAAACAGCAAGAGTCTCAAGTTTTTTTGTCTTTATCTGATGACCGTAAGTAAGAAATGGAAATTCTTGGAAGCAAATTTATTACTCGCTTTCTGCCTGTTTGCTACAAACAATTCAAAGTCAACTTTATTGTTCTGGAAGCTTTAAGATAGTATGACAGGGCGGCTAAGCCATGCGCTTGCACACCTTAAAGGCTTGACCTTTTTGCCAGTTTGAATTTTTTTTCTATTTAATCTTTACTTGCTCTTAGAACATTAAACAGTGCAGGTTACAAATGAAAGAATAAGGCTGAGACTGTGGTACGTGCATCCAAACAACTTAATTTAAAGGAATAACTAAATAATCTTCTGTCTTACTAGAACAGCTCTGAGTTTTCAGAGTTTTATTACCATACGGCTCTTTTCTTCTCACACTGCTGCTGTCATGTTTCCATCGGCATTCGCTGCCAGTACACCTGTGCACGTTCACGAGTGGTCAAATCCTGGCTCTTTCATGTGAGCATACTCATACCTAGACTGATAAACCCCAGGATGACTTATTGAGATGATAGCCACCTAGCCTGATTAGGTTAAGTGAAGCCAGATAAGGACAAGATTGCTTCGTAGAAAAAGGCCCTGATCACCAGAATTTTAATCCCATTTAGTGTTTCCATGTCACTATTGATTATTTGGGGGGCCTCTTTTACCCATTTTCCACCGGAAGCAGCCCTCAGATGTTTCCTCCTCAGCCCAAATTTCTGTTAGAAACCACAGACTGTATAGAAAATGGTCTGAAAGTGCCCGAAACCTGAATTTGTTTCAGCAGCCACCAGAGGGCGCTACCTGTGGTTTCACAAAGACAGGCCCTGTAAAATCATGGGCATGCTTCAGCTTTAACTTGTTTCTGGTGAAGAGCAGCCATTAGCCTTTTATAAATTTCAAAGACTTTATTGGCAAATATGCAAAGAGCTCCAGGCTGATCACACTTGTGTGGGATTGTGCTGGTCCACCTGGTTTTTCAAGGACTGACCATTGATTATGGATCAGATTAAGATTTATGGCGTTTCCAAACTCTTGAGTCAAAATTTTAAGCTGTAAAATGCACAGACTGTCACCAAACTGAAGCTGATCTTTGAGGATACTTTTACTGTGGTCAGTCCTTAAAAAAAAGCAGATGGACCAGCAGTAGCAACGGCTGATTTCAGAGTAGCGAAGTCCATCTTTTACACGGTCTAGAAACACTGGAATGAAGGGTACTCACGCCAGTGACGGTGTGGGCTGGTTCTCAAAGGCAGAAATGGCTTCACGCCAGTGGGAAACAGGTAACAGGTCACTGGCCCATGATTTCCACCGCAAACGTTTTCCAAATCATTACAACGACAAATGTAGTCAAAATGACCGCTAAAGAGGAAGAAACTCCCTCACGTGCTCGCTTCTGCAGGCCTGAATTTACATGTTCAAAAGTCTTTGCGGGAAAAACAGGAAACTTCCAGATGAAGAAGAAGTGGTAAGTCTGTTGAGTGACTGAAAAAGTGTACACATCTAACAGTGGAAGTGTGTGTGTGTGTGTGTGTGTGTGTGTGTGTATATTCCCTTTAGTTTCCTCTCTAAATAACACACAAACTAAAAAAACAAAACAAACAGTGCTAGAGCTCATCATGCTGATAAATGTTATACTCCTTCGCACTGATCACGCCATCTTTGTCGCCGTCGTTCTTGTAGAAGATATCGTCTATAAGCTTCTCGTAGAAAGGGTCATCACGCGACTTCCCCCCTTTTTCGTACTCCAGCTTCAAATATTCTTTCACCTGGAAACAGAGAAACAACTCAGAGTAAACTCTGAATTTTAATAACGCCGCCCTCACGCTGTGCCTGACAGGAAATGTATCACATACACAGATTATATATATATATATATATATATATATACATACATACACACACACACACACATA